CATTTAGGAAGGACTCGATACAGCCATCAGAGAGGAAAGCTGTGTATGAAGGCAAGGGTTTCCAAAAATAGACATACCAAGGTTTGTTTGTGTGTCTTATTTAGATCAAAGACGGAAAAACATGGTTTTGTTTCAAGTTCATAGACACACACATAAACACACACAGTCCTATACAGTGTGCATTCTGTGGGACCCAGCAGTGTTTTCCCCAGTTGAATAAAATGTGGCTTTGTAGGCATTCAGATCACATTGCATTTGTGCATCCTGTACAAGGCTGTTGGCTCTAGTCAGCCCTTAATTCTAATTAATCCAAGTCCAGCTGAAGCTGTGGCTGGAGGAAGAAAGACTAGAAATGAAGGAAGAAAATGAGACGTTAGCACGAATGCCTATCACATTGTGAATATCTATTCATCTGCATAGTATTAATGATAGCGAATATGCAAACAGATGTTTCTCTCATTAAATTGTATATGCAAATACTACTGGTAGGAGTGGTAATGTTGTCTCGGGGTTGAGAGATCGTTGAGGGTAATTAAAGGTTAATCCAGTTTTCAGTTCACAGACTATTCGACAAGAGCGGTTGTAAAGAAAAATTGTCACTTAACCTTCGATTCATTACCAATGGCACATGGATTTTCTACTAAAATAACATAAACATATGCGCTAATCATCACTCCCTCCCTCCACCACCTCTGCAGCGGCTGATCACCATCCACCAAAGGCAAAGACTTGAGAGTTGAGCAAAGTTGAGTGTTGCTGTGTGAGGCATTAATAAGAAAAATTGTAGTCCCTCCAAAAGTGTTTAGAACCCGTCTGGAGTCATAATTTCTCATTTTTCATTTAAAAAATCTGAAGCACTTACATCGTTACCTCTTGAACAGAATTAAAAACATTGTTCTAAGATACTGAATGTGAGAAATTGGAGGCGACAACGAGCTGGCCAGTCTTGCCATATCTCACTCTTTTTCTTACTGGGTAAATTGAAAAGGACAAATGGTTTGGAACTTTTTTTTTGGCAGAAATGTTTAACTTGCCAGCCGGGGTATTTTCACTTCCTGTTTTGAGGAGGGGGGAAAATTCAGCAATTAAGGCCAGAGAGTTCCAAACTGACAGGTGTGTGAGAAGAAATGCAAGGTCAGTATAAACCATGTATCTGTGGGAAGAGGTGTAGAAAAGCAGAGGAAGAAGAGGTTTCTCTGTGGAACATAAAGAGGGTTTATTTCCTGATCAATAGTTACAAAGCACTTGCCTTTGGTTTAGTGGGAATCAGGGTTCTGGAAGTGTAATCTCCTCTCCCCTTTCCTTCTTTAGTCCTTGATTCTACAAGAAGTGCACAACTATTCACTCGGCGGCATAAAGACCCATGCAAAGCTAGCAAGCCGAGTACCTGAGATCTCCATGCTCCTGAAAATTAAAAAGTGTGCCTTCTACCCTGAGTGTTCAAGATACCAATTAAAATGAAATCAAAAGTTGCATGGGCAGACAGATCCCTAACATTTATTTAATCCTCATTTTGCGTTGAGGATTTTTAGTTAAACCCAAATTTAATTTTAGTTCTTATGCCACCAGAAAAACCAAGCTCCTTTCAAGGTTGCAATCCTACATTAAATCCAAATCAAATCTTGTATATAAAACAAAAAGGTCTTTTTGGGATCCTACTTTCTCATAGGGAACGGTGCTTGTTTAAGATGTTACAAAATTACACTGGAAAAGAGTGTATTTCTCAGCAAAATTGGCTATGTTTAGTTTGCCCAAAGCATCTTCTTCGTAAAATTTTATCAACACTTGCTTATTGGCAAACCCAAAATAGAAGGTAGCTATCATGATTCCAAAGGGAGGAGAGAGGCGACCTACGATCCAGTTTTATTTGTTTGGGTCTTCACAACACCAAACGATTTAACTTCTTTCCCCTCACTACTTCATTTTTTTTTTTTTTAAGATTTTATTTTTAAGTAATCTCTGTACCCAACGTGGGGCTCAAACTCACGACCCTGCGATCAAGAGTCACAGGCTCTACTGACTGAGCCAGCCGGGTGCCCTGCTCCTTCGTTTATTGATTTTTTTTTCTCCTCACTTTTTTTTTCATCTTTCATCCAGACTATTTGGTAGGTCTGAGGTCTAGGTTGAGGTCTAGGTCTAGATTGAGAGCAACAGAAAGGACCTGACTGAAATCTCTTCCGGGTTGACTAGATCTCTCTTAGCCGGAAGTGGGAGGTTAAGGTGAAAGGGCAAACAGCCATGGCGCCACCTGAGTGATTAGTACACGGTGTGTGCATTTTCCCCAGGGTATGTGCTAAAAATGCTGCCCTCTCCCAGCTAATTCCGGGTAGCATTTGGAGATATCCAGCCTTACTCTCAGGAGACGCTTTTGAAATAGCATGGCCCCGTGCTTTGCTATTTGTTAAGTAATTGAAAGATAATGGCAATTATTATATATGAGAAGCCAAATTCCCCTAGCACCAAGCATCTCCCACTAATAGTGCACTGCTCAAAATAGCCGATCGGTGAGGTTGAGGTTGAATCTAGGGAGCTGGACTTTGGTTAGAAAACTGCCAACAGGGCCAGATGGTTTATTTTGCTAAATACAATGGAAACACACACACACACACACACACCCCAGTATGGAGGCTTTTGATTCTGAGCAATTCCTAGCCCCTTTCTCCCAGTGCCCTGGAATACAAGGGCTGCCCGGGTTTGATTTAGGCCATGTCAATGACCTGAAACTCCTTCTGACTCATTCTCACTGACCATCTCAGCTTAGCTTTGGCCCTGGCTTGATAGGGTGTGATGAGTCTACTACATCTGGAGCTCAATTGGGCAGACTCATGAGAATAAGCAAGGATACTAGAACAGCCCAAAGGAGGAGGCGAGCTGGGCTATCTCAGGCTAGTATGGCAGGAAACAGTATGAACGGTGGCCACTCTACCTTCAGGAAACTTCAATACCTTCTGAGCTTCAATACCTTCTTTTGCAAGATAGGAAAATAATAGTACTGACCCACAAGACAGTTAAAATGATTCAGTATCATAAATACATGACATGCTAAGCACCCAAAACCAAGCAAGCTAACAGGCTGGTGATAACTGAGATTAACAACATCAACCCAAAACAGTGGTATTCTAGGCCCCCTGGGAACATATCCACTCAGAGGATGTCTCCAGGTGTCCCTATCATGGCCGCTGTTTTTCTCTGTGGAATAGGGTTGGGTTTCTATCCAGTCAGAGAAATTAGCTGAACACCTCAACAGATATCAGGGGCAGCCCCAAATATCTCTTTTTTTTTTTTTTTTAAGATTTTATTTATTTATTTGACAGAGAGAGACACAGCGAGAGAGGGAACACAAGCAGGGGGAGAGGGAGAGGGAGAGGCAGGCTTCCCGCGGAGCAGGGAGCCCGATGCAGGACTCGATCCCAGGACCCTGGGATCATGACCTGAGCCGAAGGCACACGCTTAACGACTGAGCCACCCAGGTGCTCCCAAACATCTCTTTTAACAGCCTCCTACGGTGCTCATCCCAGCCTCCTTTGGGTCACTGAGTTGCACGAAGAGATTAGCCTCTGCAGGTAAGTCAGATCTGTAAGCGGAATCATGGGATGTCGGCTTCAGACTAGTACTGGGGTGGGCTCTGAGCAGTTTGTAATAATGCAACAAGTGTTGTGTATGCCCCAAACCCAACCAAGGGTGTGACTTCACCAGCAAAACTCTCCGGTATAATGCTGAAGCCCTGAGTGCCAAAACCCGCCTCCAAATGCTCCTCACAAGCTCTGAGTTGGCATACCACTACACTTCTCTAAATCCTCAAAGTCCTCATCTGCAAAATGGCCATTTTAGTGCCCCGTGTCAAGGACTGACGTATGGGTTGACTAACAAAAGGAAGCACTCGTCAAGTGTCACATAGCATCAGACACAGAGGGGTTTGTAGTGCTTTGGTACTCTGCTCACCCTGGTGTCCGGTGCCCTACCTGGAACACTGTGCCCACAGCACACCACTATTCTTAACCCTAATGGTTTCTTAATTTAACTCATTAGGGGCTCTTAGCACTTGAAAGGTGTTTAAAAACTACAAACCAACGATTAGTCTTTGGGGACCAAAGAATAATGCAAGCCTAATGTATCACGTTTCCTGGCTCAACAAACACCATTTTGATGTGCTAATGGCCCCGAGTGAAGGCAGTAATTTTCAGTTAAATAAAGCAAGCCACCAGCCCAAATGCAAAGTCTCCACAAAGACACAATCTGCCCTTCCCTGTGGGTCAGCCAGAGATAAACATGAACCCAGGACCATTTATAAATGAAAAACATAAAAATAAAGTAATACGTGTAATATAAAATGTACTGTCAACAACTATGTGTAATGCAAAATGGAGAGGTTAGAAAGCCCAGATCCAGGAACCAGAAGACAAGGATTGGAGTCCAGCCTCCGACACCCACCTGTTCACTCTGTGAACTCAGAAAGTGTCACCACGATTAACGTGTATGTGACAACCACAACTAATCCTCTTGCACTGATCCTTGAGTTTGTTACCTGTAAAATGCAAGCAATGTTTCTTGCTGCCGACCTCACAGGATGCTGAGGAAGGTAGTTTCATGTGAGTACCTTATAAAGCACTATTCAAAATTTGAAGGATTGGGGGGCATCTGGGTGGCTCAGTCGGTTAAGCGTCCAACTCTTGATTTTGGCTCAGGTCATGATCTCAGGGTCGTGAGATGGAGCCCCCCTGGCAGGCTCCATGCTCAGTGTGGAGTCTGCTTGTCCCTCTCCCTCCCTCTCTCCCTCCCCCAATCTCCCTCTGCCCCTCCCCCACTCATGCTCACCTGGGCACGCTCTCTCTCTCTCTCTAAAATAAATAAGATAAAAAGTCTTTTTAAAAAAGTGAAGGCCTTTGATTCTGAAACAAGAGTGACTACACAGATTGATCCTGTCTCTGTGACCGTCAGGTGGCTCTATGGTCTCAAAGAACAATGAACGGAATCCAGAGATGTGTGGAGTGGGTCTGCTTTACACGATTTTTTTAATTGTGGGAAAATATGCATACCATTTACCATTTTAACCATTTCAAAGAATTGAGTGGCATTTAGTACATTCACAATATAGTGCAACCATCACCACTGTCTAGTTGCAGAACATTTTCATCCACCCAAAAAGGAAACCCCTACCCATTAAGCAGTCACTTCCCACTTGCCTCTCCCCCTAGCCTCTGCAAACCTCTAATCTACTTTTTGTCTCTATAGATTCACTTATTCTGGACATTTTATATTCAAGGAATCATACAATGTGTGGCCTTTGGTGTCTGATGTCTTTCACTTAACATAATGTTCTCAAGTTTCATCCTTGCTGTAGCAAGTGTCTGTACGCTTTATACAATATTAAGCCTAATGTTCTTTAAGCTGTATATTCAAAATACACAGCTAATAAAAATAATAATCTGCCATTTACTGAGCACTTATTATGTGCCAGGCACTGAGTACTTTATATACATGATCTCACATAATCCTTATCAGATCAGCAATATTAGCTTTATTTTACAGATGAGAAAGCTAAGATGCAGAAAGGTTAAGTAACGTGTCCAAGGTCACACAGCAATGAAGTGGCTAGGAATCAAACCTGGGTTTGTCATAGTCCAGAGCTCTTTCTTTCAACCATCCTATGTGGTATTTGCACAGCCCAAGAGCGCCAGGCCACAAAGAACGGGAGTATGGCCAGGCAGCCAGTTATGGGGACCCCAGTGAGCTCTGAGAAAGCCCACAGAGGGAGGCCTCAAACAGAAACTTGGATCACTTCTCAGTCTTGCAAACTCCAACCTGCTGGCACCAACAGCCAGCTGAGAGCCCGACTGGGGCACAAACACCCCCAGGCATGGTCCCCGGGACAGCCAGGCCCCATCCCATAGTCCCTCATTTGACTATCCTCTCCCTGAACGGGACATAGCAGGGAGTGGCCATTGGACAACTGAAATGCTCTGGTCCTGTCGCCAGTGTCCATGGAGGTCCAGGCTTGGTAGAGCTTCTAGCAGCATCTTAGTTTGAAAAGTGTCTTGTCTTTGGGTAAATATCCCATCAGCTTCCTCTCACGTGCTGTCCAAACACAAACACTAAAAACCTGAAGACTAGAGAACTGGGCCTACCTACATACTTGAAGAAATCCATAACGGCCAACAGTCCCGGAGCCCTGGGGTCAAGTGGGGACGCAGCCAATGTTCACTGGATGCGTGGGGCAAGAAAAAATTAACACTGAGTGTTCAGCAGCAGGTGAAGATCTGCAAACATCTCCCTTTTCAGAGGTTGGTACTGGATGCAGAGGACAGAGAGTTCATCTTCAGCCATCAGCCCATTATTCTTCGACCTACCCAACTTGAGCTGGTTTAAATGATATTAACAGAAATACAATATTAAGTGGAAAGAGCTTGGGATTGGAAAGAACAGGATCTTGATTTGAATCCAGGCTCCACTGCTAAGTAAATACAGTGAGACCTGGGGTAAAGCATTTCCCTTCTTGATGTCCCACCTTCAGAATGCTCTTGAGGAAGGGACTGGTGACTGTCCACAGTGCCAATCTCCCACAACTGGTAGAGCCAAGCTTCTAGAAGGATATTCTGATCAGGTGCCTCACGGGTGAATTTCTTGATTTGCCATCAGGGCAAAGAGGGCTGGAAGGGCACAGCAGTCCTCCAGCCCTTGCTGATGAGGTTCTCGGCCTCCAGGAGACCCAGCTGGTGCATCTGCAAAACAAGAATCACAATCCCACATGGCAGGGAAACCCAGCATGGCAGGGAAGATTGGGTGCCCTAGGTACCAGTGTGGGGTGCGAAGCCAGGGTTCAATAAATGTCAGTTCTCCTGTCACCTTGTAGATTCAAAAAGAAAAAAAAAAAAATCTTGGTGTTATTTTATTCAGTCTGGCCAAATGATTTAAAGAACTGGTCTCCCAAAACAAGACAAAGCAAATTATATACCATGAGCACCCATTTCTGAACTGGGAGCAGAGGGAGGAGTGATTGGCTCAAAGTACAGTCAAAAGAAATGGAAAAGGTGTTCCAGTCTCAGTGACATTTCCATAAGTAAATCATCTGCTTTAAGTGGGAAAAAAACAAAAGACTTCAGTGGATAGTGGTTGGCCCATGAGATTGTAGCTCACCTCCACAGTGTATTTATGACTAAGAGCATAACTGATTGAACGGCATTGATTTATGAGAAACTAATGTCCTAATTCTGTGGGCATTAAGCGAAAATGAAATACTAAACTTTAAATCACGATCTGTAATTATCTTCCACCTGAGAGATTGATCTTTGAGTTGCAAGAGAGACACAGACTTCATTTCGCTGGGGTTGCAATAAAGCTGGCAGTTCTACACACGTTCAATTCCATTCTCATTTCCATGAAGATTGCAGGAAGTCAGGAGAACCTGGAGGAAAGAGGTCAGGATTTGGAGGAAAACCATTCGGGTTTGAAACTCAGCCCCAGTACCGACGGACTCTCTGTGTGACCTGAGTAAATCATTTAACTGCTCTGAGCTTTAATTTCTCCACCTGTAAAATGGGGGCAAGAGTAATATGTCCAGGGGCGCCTGGGTGGCTCAGTCGGTTAAGCGTCTGCCTGTGGCTCAGGTCATGATCCCAGGGTCCTGGGGTCGAGACCCACATCGGGCTCCCTGCTCAGCGGGGAGCCTGCTTCTCCTTCTCCCACTCCCCCTGCTTGTGTTCCCTCTCTCGCTGTCTCTCTCTCTCTGTCAAATAAATAAATAAATAAAATCTTAAAAAAAAAAAAAAGAAGAAGAATACGTCCCAAGGTGATTTTAGGGCTCGAATGAGGGAAGGGATGTCCAAGTTCTGTGCTGCAAGCTCCTCCACCCTGAGAGGTTCTGAGCCCACTCCCCATCTTGGAGCCCAGAGCACCCTGCCAGGTGCTGCTGGGGGGTGGGGGGGGGATGGGCAAAGCTGCAAAAAGCGGAACTTGGCACAGGAATGTTTCAATTGTCCAAAAAAATATATTCCCTGAAGAACAGTTCCCCGGAAACAGGGTGTGTGTGTGTGTGAGAGAGAGAGAGAGACACAGAGAGAGAGAGAGTGTGTGTGTGTTCTGAAGTGGATGAAATTTGTCAACAAAATCTTTACTAAAAATGGAAATTTTGCACATCTAATTGCAGAATTTTGCAAAACAAAACAGAAGATATCTTGCCTGCCTCCAGGCATATCCAAGGGGATTAATTTGTCACTCTTCAAAAACAACTCTTTGGAGGGATACCCTCTTTGATTCTCTAGTCTCACATTAATTAGTAGTAGAAGGAACAGGGAACACACTTGGTAGAGGAGAACCGAGGAGAAATAAATCTGCCGCCCCTCTCCAGAGGGAGCAATGGGGAGGAGGGGACGCGCAGCGCCCGCCAGGAGCGCCACTCAGGCCTACTGTTACCAGCTTCCCTGCCAACCTCTGAGAGGACAATAGAAAAGATTGTTTAATAAAAATATTTCTCTTCAGCCTAAGCCTCAGTAATAAACGCTTTTGAGAGTAAAACGGAGACATAGTTGATTTGTTCTTTTGTGCTGATTATGGAAGAAGTTGACTGTATTTGGAACCAGATCCCAAATCAGTCGCACTGGAATTTGAGATTATTGCCGAGACCTAACATCGATTACTATTTGTACTCTGATAATTGCCTGATTGGTTTGTCCTGATCAAAACCTTTACCTGAAGGTATTTGTTTCAGATTCGTAAGAGTTTATTGTCAGTGATGGCTTTTTAATGGAATTTTTTTTTTTTGAGTAAAATTTCAGTTTGCTCCTGTCATTGCGTGTCGCTCAAATACGATGCCTTTCTTTTAAAACATTTAAACGTGTTCATCCATTTTCATCTTTCAAAAAAACCCAAGTAATACCCAATTAATAGTATGTGTTTTAGCGGCTGGAGAGCGCATTTCTGTCACTAAATTGGGTACAGACCACCTCTGCCATCAGACACGGGCAAGGCTGAGTGTGTGGGTGGTGGGACATCCCCGTGTCCCCCACTTTTTCCGGGGGCCCCCACCACACAGCCCTAGAAGCAGTGTCCATTGCCTGCTTATTTAAGATAATTACAACAAGTGTTCCTTCCCCGCTGGCTCTGCTGAGGCAGAAAATACTTCATCATTTACTTCAGTCATGAGAATAAAGCAAAAAATCTGGAACATAAACACCATTTTTTCTTCGCATTCAAAGGCCGGGCTCAGGGTGAGTTTGTGAATAATAAACCGAAGTTGGCAATCACGCTAATAAGTATGAAGTTGCCCGGCAGTGAAGTCCTGCAGGGGCCTGGAGCTGAGGGGGTGCCCGGGGCTTTTGTCCCCTTGTTGGTAAATAACAGCCCTTTATTTACATACAGTTGTTTCGGTTTCAAAAGATATTCAAAGCCCGGGCAGTTTCTGCAGTTGATTTGCATGGAGAGGGATATATCTGTGAATTTTTAAAGAGATTTCGCCCTGGAGAGTTGTAGGCCAGTGGGCCGGCGGGGTTGCGAGGGGGAAAGGAGGCGCACGTGATCAGCAGGCGGGCCAGGGCGGTGAACAGGCGCTTTCTTTCTGAACTCAGAATTACCCCAGTGGGTATTCATCTGCAGCCCAGGGCTCAGCGAGATCCCAGGGCCAGGCGCCTTTTGGGTTAAGAAGAGAACTTTGAACTGCATTTCTTCTCCTCGTAGCGAGGGAAAGCATCTGATGTGGAGCATCTCCACTGAAACTCTCCAGACTTGAAACATTTTCCATTTGAAGCTTGTAGCAATAAAAACCCCTGGTAATGAGTTCCCTGCCCCCGACAGAAGTCCTGCATCCAATTTGTACGCCATCCTGGTGAAATGGTTTACAAGACCGAGAGCAAAAAATCTAAAGGAATGCTCTAGAGAAGGAATGAAGTGCTATCGTTGAGATCTTTATTTATGGGAAGAGAAAGAGCTAAAACATTACCTCAGAACGCAAGATTACAACATCAGTCGGATATAAGGTAAATCTATTCTAGCGGTGAAACATCAGAAACCCATAATCCTTTCTCAAAGCCCTTTTGTTATTTTAATGTCCAACAAATTATGCCCTTTTTTAAAAGAAGAAAAACACTTGGATTTGAGAGGTTTCTTTTGCTCTAGTAGAAGTAATTTCACCGGTTAAAAAAGTTTTAATTTTCTGGAACCCAGTCTTTACTGTGCTGGCCAAGCATATGCACAAGGCTAAGGTAATTTTTAGCTTCAATAGAATTGGGTACGGTGACCACCAAGATCGGCTTCCAGTTGCCATGGCAACTGTAGTCCTAAAAAGTACTTAGGTTAAGCGAGGCATTTCGGGTTGCTAATCTGAAACTTTTTTCATTATTATTTTTTTAAGTGGATGAGTATGGACGAGTAAATTGCAATACTTACTGTATTTATTGTCTTTGCTCTTGATGTCAGTCATACCATTGGGATCCTGCTTACATATCTTCTAAATGACTTCTAAAGAATAGGAAGAAATATGGAAATTTGGAAGAAAATTGGGCAGATGGCAAAAAAATAAAAATAAAGAAAACCTGTTTCTCTGTCGAAGCTCTTCCATGGGAAGTCCTCAGGGGAAGTCCGCGAGAGGAGGCTGGGTAGAGAAGGACTGTGGTTCCTGTGTGCCCACCCGGGCTTGCTGCGGGCTGTGAGGACCAGTGGGTCAGGACCGGAAGTGATGCACCCTCAGACACCTTTATAATGTAGCAGGTGACGAGGGTGAAAGCACATAACAAGAGCCCTATTTTCAAAATATATGAACTACAATTTGACCTTTCCTTGATAACTCAGACTTGGAGGTCTACCGACGACATGTATTAGGTGTCTACTTACTGCTCAGGCCACAAGCTCTGAAAAAAAAACTTGCACCCATGCAAGTTATATTCCAGAGGTGGAGTCACACAAAAGACATAATCAATGAAAGACAGATGGCAGATAGGTGATAGATAGGTAGATAGATATAGATAGATGAGAGATAGATAGATGAGAGATGACAAATATTATGTCCAAAGGTGGTAAGTACTACAGAAACAAATAGAGGAAAGTCCCAGAAGCTGGGATGGGACGTAATTGAGAACAGGGTGGTCAGAGTGGGCCTCGCTGAGGTTGGGGACATTGGAGCGGAGACCTGAAGCAGGTGAGGAGTCAGGCCAGCAGAGGTCTGGGGAAGGGCATTCCAGGCAGAGGGGATAAGAAAATGCAAAGCCCTTGATTCAGGAGGTTCTTATGAATACTGGCTATGCATTACTATATCCTACAAAACAACAAATCTCACGGTCTGTGAAGTTTGTAGGGTTTGCGCTCCTCCACCAAGCAACCGCAGACTTTGATGCACAAATGCTTCATTTTCTTACCTTTTTCCTCCAAGTCAGCCCCTCTTCTTCAGCAAGGCAGTTTCGCCCCCGGAAATAGCCCTGCTGCCTTGTCATCTGTTAGCTCTGAAGTTGTGTCATTTGGGAAAACAGATGACCCAACCTGCTGGTCGTGGGCCTAAAGAAGGCTGAGGGTTTGGACCACGAGGGATCCCAACTCTTTCATACACTGTGTGTTACTTGCCTTTTACGCTGAATCTCTTCACGTCCAGGCCACGTGGTAGCCTGTCCCAATTCTTTCATACCCAGCCAGCACCTGGCACATTGGGCAGCAGGATTGGTAGATGTCCTACAGATTCATGAGTCAACTGTGGTATCTCTTTTGTCCGTTCAAATGCCCGTCCCCTTCTTCATGGTTCTCATCGTTTGCAGATGCCAGATGAGTGAGGGCTGGGGGTGACCACTAGCGTGCACGTTCAGGGCCGTGTTTGCCCCCAGAGCATCTCCCAATTCGTGACCTCGCTTGCAACCTAACCACAACCCTCCGAGGTCCATAGAGAAAGTGCTGTTAGCCTCAACGTATAGATGGGTTGGCGGATGGAAGGAAGTTAAATGACTCCCACCACAGTGGCAGCAGACCCCCTGGATCTAGAGGTCCTGATTCCAAATTCCCATGTGACCCGGGGCTCCCTCCAGAATAGCCAAGTCAGTCAAGGTTTGGAATTACTTCAGAAACACGAGAACTGGAGGACAAATTTTGGTGGCAGAGCCACCGTCTACATGTAAACTACACGAATTAACTCAGGAATTAACTTGGTAGATGCGAGGTGTGTGAAAATGTGCCTAGAGATGAGTGTAGAGGGCCACACGCTCAGGAGTCCGGGGTCCCGGGTGCTGGTCTCGGGCATAGCCGTTCCCTTCCCTGAGCTTCCATCTCCTCCTCGGGGGTGAGAAGGAGCATTGTCCTGAACCCGCTTTCTCCAAGTGCAGGGGGCAAGCAAGGCGGCTTCAGTGCCCTGGAGGGAACACGGCGTATCCCTGGGGCAGGTCCCGTGAGTGTGATTCCCCTTCCTCTGCTCTTTTCAGTCCTCAACTTGGGCCCTGGGGGCTCTGGACTTGGGGGCAGCAGTACCTGGCTAAAATTTAGTAACATTGTTTTCACTGAATTTATTTTGACATTTCCTTTCTCTTTTGTATGGCAAATGATGCTGATTTTTCATCTCTCAGAGGAATACCAAGATTTCATTCAAGACACATGTATTTAACTAAACCCGTGAATTATGAGAAGAAAAACGTCAAGTCAATAACATTAAAGGTGGGACACGGGTTTTGCAAAGATCCTGAAGGTGGTTCAGGAGTGAGTAAGTTAGGAAGAGCCTGAGCCAGATGGCCTTTGAAAATCAATGGAGAAGGGTGGTTACTAACAGGCTCTGGAGCCAGACTGCCTGGGTCTGTAGTCCCGGTTCTGCCACTTACACCTGGATCAATCTGGGCAGGTTCCTTAATCTCCCTGTGACTCGCTTTCCTTATCTGTAAAACGGGAATAATAGCACACCTACCTCAAAAGATTGCTACGTTCTGCACTTAGAAGAGTGCCTGGCTCCGTGTAGATGTTGTGTTTCCTGTTATTATCACTTGATGGGGCCGCACCCACCAAGGGCTTTTGGAAGAGAGAGGTGGCAGGCTCCAGTGACCATGCCCATCCTCAGCGGTTTACCAGAACCCCTTTGCCCATACGTACCGTTTCCTCCCCCTGAACACAGCATCCCAGTGCCCTTCCCACCCTCTCTCCTCCTGTTGGAAAGTGCGTGAGGCCTTCTATAAATAAAGAGGGCGGAGGAAAGTCTGTCTGGCTCCATCCGCTATCCACACAGAATGGTGTAAACGTGCCCAGGTGGTATTTGTCTTCTCCTCGTTTATCTGAGCCCCTACGAGAGTCAGCTGTGAGCCACATGTTAGATCATCTCCTGAGCCAAAGAAGAGAAAAAAGAAAAGAAATATGAAGGTAGAGCAGCAAAAATAGCAGTGCACCCAGTCACTGTCCTCTCCAGGTTGTTCCCTGCCTAGCTGCTTCCCTGCGGCGAGTCACGCTTGACGCTCTCTGTGACGAACCCGGTTGGTTTTCCCTGCAAACATGGGCCGTGCAGCATCTTTTGAGACACCAGAAACTGACGGGGGCCCCAGGGGCAGGGGATGGCCCTGACTTTGCAGGTGACCTCATGCAGAACCTCAACTGTGTCTCCATCAACAACGGGTGTACCCCAGCCCAGCCCTGCTTTGGGGGCCACAGACGTAGCCATGGGCTGTCCTGGGACATCAGTTGCTTTCTTGTGGTGGAAGTTAACATTCTCCTGGGGTCAAATGTACAAGCAGGGCCATTCTGAGCAGGCTGACTTTTCATTTATCATTTACGGCCTGACACTCACCAAACAGAGGTGTGTGAGAGGCTCCCCACCTGCCTGCGCTCCCCGGTGGGGGGAGCGGAGAGCACATAACTGTTCATAGATCAACTCGGGAAGTTTATTTAAAGCGAAATGTTCATTGTATTCTTTTCCAAGGCGGTGTGACGATGCCCTAGTAGTTTGGTTGCCATGTACACACACCACACGAAGGCGTCCGGAGAGCTCCTGGGCAGTGATGCGAGGCAAGGAGCCAGCCATCGCTGACAGCATGGGCGGAGAGGGTCATCATGCAGGCCAGGATCTTTCCAGCAGGCCAGGACCTTCTGGATTCTTGAATTGCTATTCTTAGCACAGCTGCAAACCCGTGACCCCCATTTCCCTGGCCCCCTCCTATTCTTGATATTCCTTTTCCACTCCCACAGAAACAACTGCAAACCAAGCCATGGCAGAATTTAGTATGACCAAGGGGCAGAAGCAGAGTGCTTCTGAGTGTGGCTTCTGAAGCCAGATTGCCTGAGTTCCAATCCTGCGTTGTTTGCATACTGAGCGAATGACACTTTGAACATGACTTAAACCCTTAGTGCCTCAGTTTCCTCATCTATAAAATGAGGATAATAGTACCTACCGCAAGGGTTGTTGGGAAGATTAAAGGAGCTAATACATGAAAAGCACAGTTCAACGGTGTCCATAACCTAGCAAGTACAAGGATAAATGTTAGCGACTATTGTTTACTAGGAGAAGTCTTCCACTGGGCAAGTATCTCACTCCAAGATGGCCCCCCATGATTCCAGTCTCCTGGCAATCACATTCTCGATAGTTCCTTCCACACTGAATAGGGCTGACTGTGTGACCAACAGGACATTGAGGAAATGGGGGAGCATGACCTCTGAGGATAGGTCATAAAAGTCACTGCACCTCACACCTTGTCAAAGAGCCACCATCCGAAGGCTGGAGGACCACTTCCAAGGGGGCTTAGTCACATGGCTGGCAAATTGGTGCTGGTCGTTTGTGGGAGGTCTCAGGCCCCCCACCCCCCACAGGCCTCTCCATAGGGCTGCTTGAGTGTCCTCACAACATGGCAACTGGCAAGTGACCCAAGAGAGTGCATATTGTTAATACTGTTGTCTTATCTTACATTTAATTTCTTATTCTCAGAAGTCCATATTTTCTTGAGTTTTATTAGAAGTATCAAGCGAAAGCTATTTAAAACTTTGTTTCCTTAGGTACATATTTTCCAAAATAATGCTCTTGTACAACTTTAGGCTATGTTCTCCTCTTCCTAAGCTGTAGCCCATCTCTGTTTTTCTCTCTCTCAGTCAAATGCCCCATATTCTCTCTCTCTCTTTTCTTTCCTCTTTCTTTTCTCCTCCTCTTCCTCCTCCCCCTCCTTTCTTATCCAGGAATAAAGATCTCTATTAATGTTTGCTCTTTGCTTCTAAGCATAGTAGATGGACTCTCTCTGGCCCCTTCATTTAACTGTTTTCCTGCTTTCTGATAAAAACTTTCTTACAGAGCTTGCAGGAGGTTGGTATCAGCTCCACTGCGTAACAAACCACCCAAATCTCAGTGGCTTAAAATATCAAAGAGTTAATATTGCTCACGTCTGTGCTTCTGCCAGGATTTAGCTGACCTGGGCTGGGCTCAGCCAAGGGCTCTGCTTCAGACACCTTGGCAGGTCTGTTGGTTGGTTGGGGTATCTCCACTCCATGTCTCTCATCTTCCTTTGACCATCCTCCTTTGGCCTCTTATGCCTAATGTGGGCATATTTTTCTCATAGTGAAGCAGATGTACCAAATGACGAGTGGAAACGTGAGCTTAGGATCAGAGCTAACATGCTATCATTTCACCAAACAAGTCATGTGGCCAAGCCCAAGTTCAAGGAGCATGAAATGATATTCTGCCATTCTGCATGGAGATAGAGGAAGAACTACAAAGTCACTAGGAAAGGATGAATACAGGACGCATAAAGAATTTAGGCCAGGAATGCCCCACAGTGGTTCAAAGATGAATAAGAAATTTCTTGACTTGAAGCCTGCCTTTAAGGATTCTCAAGAGAAAAGACAGCAAAGGGGTGGTCTGAGAGGAGGAAGGGCATCCAGAAGGAAGGGTGCACAACCTGAGTGTAAAGCAGTCCAGCCTAGCTCCACCCATCTCTCTACTTGCTCAAGACTCTCTCCAACCCGCCCGGAAACATTTCAAGTCTGCCGTTATCAGAGCCTCTCGTGGAGCCAGCTCGCTCCAAGCTCCTGATTCTTGCTTTCTCCCGCATTCTTGCAAGGAAAACCCCCACAGGGTTGATGATTTCCAAGCTAGTCCAACCAGGCCAGTTAGACCCCTCAGTCTGCATGCGGATCACCTCTTCCACAAATGAGTGCGTTTGTCAACGGTGGCTTCCTGGAAGCTTCGTTGTTTTCCATCGCAAGTACATGCTTGCCAACCGGTACGCAGGAGCAATTCCGCAATTCCCCAATGGGCTTCATTATGACAATGAGCAGAACTTTCTGTACAGAATAAAAAATAGTTTCCCCAAAGGACAGCGCCCAGCCTACATTCTGTCTTCCAAGGACTCGGTCTGCATTCTCCATTGTCCCAGAGAATGACACTCGCGGTCTGCTGGGGAGTTCTTAGAAAACTTAATGCAAACTGTGTGTTCTACCTGCTCAGGAAGGCACGGAGGTTTCCTGATGGAAGGAATATTGGCGCTTATCCGGTCTGGGGTCCGCAAACTTTTCTGTGAAGGGCCCGATGGTACATATTTTGGGTTTTGTGGGCCATACCATCCAAGTGGCGACGGCTTCCCTCTGCCGTCGTAGCATGAGCGCGGGTACAGACAACGTGTGAACAAATGGGCAGGACGTGCTCCAACGAAACTTTCTTTACAGAAGACGCTAGCAGGTCCCATTTGGTCCACAGGCCCCTCATCACTGGCTGACCTCGGTTCCAACCTAACCCCTCTCTGGGCATAAGTGGAAACTGAGACCTCGGGCTCCTTCTCCTGCCATCACTGAATCTCACGTCTAACTCTGGCAATGGTCTTTTGGTCCCGGGCTTCTTCGAGGGGCTGTCCTCCGCTGGGACACCCCAGTGTGAGTGTGCTGAGCGCTTAGCACCCATGTCTCTCTGCTTGTCCAACATTTTAAATATCACCCTTGCTTTTTTTTTTTTTTTTTTTTTTAATATTCAAGACTTCTGCAAGACTGAGAGATCCTTGAGGTTGGAGACCTTGCGTCATTCATCTTGTAATCCCAGTGACTTTCCAGCTCAGCCTCTGATGCATCAAGAGTACAATTCAAATGAATGAACGAGGCTCAGAAAATAGAAGGGACTTGACCAAGGTCATATAGTCTAAGAAGCAGCCGTGCAGGGAGCAGATCCAGGTCATGACATTGCAATCTCTCTATGTTAATACAGTATACTCTCCCATGGGTTAAATAGAAGGCTGGTGAAGGGGTTGGAGAATCACTGGAAGGCTGGTTAGGCCAGCAAATGCCTACCCAAAGCCCGGCAAGTTGGAAGGCCCTAGGCAGAGTATTCCTGCAGGCAGGGAGGGCCTATTTTCAAGGAGGCAGAAGTCCACAGGGACATACACATGAAAGTAGTTCTAATCTACCCATCGGATAGATTCAGGAAAAATGTGGTTAACTTTTTTTCTTTCTACTTCTCCCTGGCTTCACTCTCCACTCCATGTATAATCACACACACACACACACACACACACACACACAGCTAGATTGTCACTGAAGAGTCCAGTGTCTAGACCAGGTTTCGTGACCACTTCCCAGTTCTGGGGCTTTCTTAATTTGTATGCATATGTGTGCATTTTTTTTAAAAAGAGAGTCCATAGCTATTTTTCAGATTATTGCAAGAAGCATGATGCCTAAAACCTTAACCATAGATAAGGCAATTTCTGATACATGTCCTAGATCTATTGTGCTGGTGTAGCTGAGGTCTTTTTTAACCCCATTTCGAGAGGCAACAAAATAGTGCAGAAGTCTTATAAGGTGGGGCTTGGGGAGAAGCCCTTTCCTCTCACAGTGTTTTCCACTCACTGCCATTGACAGTGCTTCTCTTTCATCAGCTCTTGGGAGTTCAGACTCAGATTTGTAAGCCCCCAGTCAGCTTTAGTCATGAGGGTTGCACATTCCTGCAAAGCATGAACTTGGAATCCAAACAGCCTGTGGTCTGATCCTGGCTCCCTACTCCCAGCTGGTCTGGGACTTACTAAAATGCCCCATCTCAGCATCTCAGTTCACCTCTCTGTAAAATGGGAATGAAAATACCTACCTCGCAGACTTGTTGGGAACATTAAATAAATTACACATTTTAAGTGTCTAGAACAGCACAGGGTAGGTGCTTAGCCAGCCTGGCACGTAGTAGGCATTTAGCAAACATTCCTTCTCTTTCCCTATCTCTCCCCTCCGTGCTTTTTCCTATATGTGGCATCTAGAAGGAACCGTTTGTAATACGTTCCCAAGGTTGTTTTCTTTTCCTTCCTTTATTTAAAACTCAAGATTGATAAATGGAAAGAGTTGGTCGACAGCAGGTCTGTCCACACCTCCTTTCCTCTCTGGCCTTTGGAGAAAGCAAGGAGAAGCAACTGCAGAAAAAATTGCAGAATCAACTGCAGGAGAAAGAACTGATGTTTTATCAGTTACCTTTGTAGGAGGTTTGGCGATTTTGACAAGACTTCTTTGTTTTTGTATTGCTTTGTTTTAAACTAATGTGTTAAAACATATTCATTCAAAGG